AATTAATAACTCATAATAATCTAGTGTACTATTAAATGAAATATTTTAAATTATTTATATGTAAATTAAATAATTAGAAGGTGAGATAAGACTATTTTGCAAATTAAAAACTTTACTGTAAGGCCAATTTACAAATTAAAATTTTATATATGTAAATTAATGTTGGTTCAGAGGGTGAGTATAAACCTTTTTTATGAATTAATAACTCATAATAATCTAGTGTACTATTAAATGAAATATTTTAAATTATTTATATGTAAATTAAATAATTAGCATGTGAGTATAAGACTATTTTGCAAATTAAAAACTTTACTGTAAGGCTAATTTACAAATTAAAATTTTATATATGTAAATTAATGTTGGTTCAGGGGGTGAGTATAAACCTTTTTTATGAATTAATAACTCATAATAATCTAGTGTACTGTTAAATGAAATATTTTAAATAATTTATATGTAAATTAAATAATTAGAAAGTGAGTATAAGACTATTTTGCAAATTAGAAACTTTACTGTAAGGCTAATTTACAAATTAAAATTTTATACATGTAAATTAAAGCTGGTTGTGAGTATAAAACTAGTTTTTTATAAATTAAAAGCTTTATAATAATCTACTATTAAATAAACAGCTCTATTTATATGCAAATTAAATTAAAAATTTTATAATTCTATTATTAAAACATTTCCAATTATTTAATTACAAATAAAGACGTTAACCATAAATAATGCCCGCTGATTCTTCATAAAACATCTCGAATTATTTTATGCAAATTAAATTACTTTGTCGTGAGTATAAGATTATTTTATAAACTAAACTTTATAATATACGGTATTGTTAATTAATATATCTAAGTATTTATATGTAAAATAAACCAATAGTTGAGAGTATAAGATATTAAATTACAAATCTTGGAATAATCTTATTAAATAAACATTAACTTACTAGGCTGTGCTAAAAGACTATTTTATTAATTAAAGCTCCTGGTAGTCTTATTATTATATAGACCATTTTTAATTATTTATATGTAGATTTTAATTCTATATTGTCCAACAATGAGTTATATAAGTAAATATATTATACTGAAATTTTTATACATAGTACAGATATTTAATTAACCAATTCTGTATATAAATATAGATTTTATATTAGTTCTACATATGTATATATATATAAACTAAATTCATATAATTTAAAATAACAAAAGGGATAATATTTATACTAGCATTAAATTGGAATTGCTCTTATAATATTTATTTATAGTTAGAAAGTTGTAATTACTAGTTTTTCAGATATGTGTGATATTATATAATTTGCTTATTATAATATTTTTTCAATATTTTTTAGATTTTAATCCAAATTTTTTAGATTTTTGAACTATTTGCAAAGTTTAATAATTATAAATATATTGGGGTGAGTCAATAGAAATCAAGCAAATTTTTTATAATAAAATTTTTTCATAACTTTAAACAAGAATAACTTAATAAAACTTGACCAAATTTAATAAAAAATTTTTAAATAATTTTTACTAACTTGTATAATTAATTAAAAAAAAAATTATTAAATTTGATTAAGTTTTTGTTAAGTTATTCTTGTTTAAAGTTTTTAAAAAACTTATTAAATAAATTTGCTTGGTTTCTATTGACTCAACCTCATATAATAATTATTAAATGGCTACGATTTGTCTTTTTCTTAATTTATTAGCAAAAGATTTTTTTGTTAGCTATGAACGAAGTTACAAGACATCTATTTGTCACAAGATTACAATCCTCACCTATAATATTGTAAGTGTGATATATTGTGTAATGAGTGTAGATTAACATGTGAAACCGTCCAAATATAGATATGATTTTCATTATCCGTTACATAGATCACTGACCAGTCAAAATATCACTATGGGATTAGTCAACCAATCAAATTGCGAAATTTACAAAAAGACGAAACCATGGGATTCATGGGGATTCAAAAAATATGTTGTAAAGCAAAATGAGAGCTTCATGTTTGTTTAACCATTTTCAATATTCATAGAAAAGATAAGTCAATCAAGCCTTCCAAAAAAGTATTGTAAAATAATATAAAAAATTTTTTCATCAATTGTGTAACAATTTTGTGACGTATCAACAGTTCTCCCTGTTGTGTAGATTTAATTAATTAAGTAATTGTCATATAGGACTAGTGCAACGGGTGGCGCTTACGCGCCACCCATCTTATTTGTTTTGTTTCTTTAGTGATTTTTGCAAAATCTGTAAAGTTGGTATTTGAAAATTTATTAGTATGAATTGTTTGTGATTGAAGTTGATTTAAGGTTTATTTTAATTTTAAATATCTATGCCTGTATTTTGGTTTTATATTTTATAGTTAAGTTTTTTGTTAACTGAGAAGTGTGGATATATATAGTTGTGTTGTACGCAACATTTATTTTAACGATATTTATGTTTTTGAATTTTTGTTTAGTGTATATAAATTTACTTTGTGACACTGAGTGTAGTGTTGTTTTTAGAATTCTGGGAGTGTGTTTTAGTATTAGTTGGCGATTTATTGTCGTTTATGAGTATTTATTATTTGGATGGATTGGTTATTTATAACATATGTTAAGTTTTTAAAACGTGATGATTGGTATTTTTTATTGATAGCGTTTGTTTTTTATATGATTTTTGTTGAATTATCGAATATGGGTGTATTCTGTGATAAACGTTTCACGGTATGTACCAGTTAGTCTTTTCTAGTTTCGTTAAATATCTGCTGGATATTACCAGTGTAATGGTAATATCTTTGTAAGGTTTCATGAAGGAGAGTAATGACAGTAAATATTGTCAAAACATTAAATATCTTATTCTTAAGCTTAAATTGCTAAGATTTAATTACCAAAGTATATTAATGTTTTACTGCTTTTTACTACTATTGATATACTTTCAATATTTTATCAAAATTTTGCACTACATTACTGATATTTAGTAGGTATTTGGTGGAACTATGGGAGACTAACTGGTATATATTGGGAAACGTTTATTCTGGTATGTACTAGATATTTATTAGTTTAGATTGTGGGTTTTAATACTTACTAATAATTATGTTATTTTTAACAGGTTTTTGGTAGTTAATTTATGTTGAGTAATTATGATTTTTTTTGTTTATGTAAGGGATTATTGTTGTATCATTATTATGTATGATTGACGATATTTTAAGTTTGACGTTTGTGGGCTAACGTTTTTGTTTCAAGTTTATTTCGTATATTAATTATATATATATTGTTTAAGTGTTGTGAGGAATCTTAAAGTTTTGTAGTTTTTTTGTATTTTGGATTTTGTCTAATGCCATGTTATGCAGATACTATCGTTAAGATTAACTACGTAAAGCAGAATGTTAGTTCTAAAGATCCTAATTTGTTGGTTATGTGGGCTCTTGGGTCTTATTCTGTTAAACGTGACGATTACTATATCAAGATGACTTTATTTGTGCCATCTAATTCAGATGATAGGGATTCTGAGACCCAAGCTGTTTTTATAAAAGATATATTTTTTTTGGTCGGTGGAAAGATAATGCCTGGGTTTTTTGAAGGGAAAAAAAGAGCAAAGGTAATTTTTATTCATTTGATAGTGCTGTATAAATATTACTTATTTTTTTAATTTTAGATGACTGATTCAACTTCTACTTATGTGATGATTCTTAATAAAGTTGTTGGGTCGAATAAATATCTATTAAAAGTTCTTTGGTTGGAATTCCCCAAGAAATGCCAAATGAAGTTAATGATAATGTTATTATTAATATTTTAGTTACAGATTATTCTAGACAAGAATATAATTTTTTTATGAAGGTTGTTTTTTCCTGTTATAATTCGCAGTTTTCACATTTGAAAAGTAATATTCAGCCTCGAGAATCACTTATTTTTATTGTTGGTCAATTAGAAATTATTGGCAATGAGTTTTATGTATATGCTTAGAAGATTAATTATATTGATATACAGTTTAACAATAAAAAGAGTGTTATCTTCAGGCATGGTGATTCTCAGGTCTTTTTATCTTCTAAAAATTCTATTCAGTCTAAACTTTTGGTTACTCATCATAACATTGCTGAAAAGTCTAAATTTAAGCCTGAACATGAAGTTGGGTCTTCTGTAATTTCTGGTGATTCAGTCGACAAAATTGATTTAAAAAGTTCTATTAGTTTTCATGTATTGAGATATGTGAGGGTTAAAGATTGTGATGATTCTAGTGAGGATTTTTGTTATAATGAAAATGAAATCTGTAACAATTCTGGAGAGAATTTTGAAGAGAAATTTAAAAAAGATGTTTCATTGTCGCAGAGTGATTATAGGAGGTGTAATAATTCAAACAATTCTTCTTCATCAAAGCGGGCATGCTTTGATGATTATGGTGAATTCGCTGGAGAGTTTTAAATGAGAGAAAGTGATAGTTTTAATCAATAAAAAGAAGCTATTGGTTCGAATAAGAAGGGTAACAGTCACATTGATAGGGTTTTACGCAGTGATTCTAGGTAGGGAGTGGAATGGGCCAGGTTGGGCCAGGCTTTCATGAGCCCAGATCCAAGCCTGGAAAATATTTACATACCCAAGCCTGGCTCACTAAAAAAAAAGCCCGTGAAGTATAGAGGCAGTAATCAACAATTTGGTAACACTTTGGGCAAGATATCATTTTTACAAAAAAAAAAAAGCCCATCTTGAGATAAAGAACTTGAGAAAAATGATTTATTTGCTGTTATTATATAAAAAACTAATATGAGTATTCTTGCCAAAGAAACAAATTTTAGATATAGATAACAGTTTCTTTTTTTTATATTTTTTCCTTTTGCACTTTTTTTACAAAATTTTATTTGCCAAATTTAAGTAATTAAAAATGCATATTTAAATTTATAATATTCCAACTTTGCAGACTGTCAAATTCCAAAAATATGTAATAAAAAAATTAGAAATAAATTAAAATTTTTTTGAAAAAATAATACAATAGCAAATTATATAATATGTTTATATACATTTGGGAAGATAATAATCACAACCCCCAAAATTATTTACAACTCTCCCTGACGATCACTTGTACCAAATTTTCCCACCGAACAAAAAACAAAAGTTGTTGGAGTAGCTAACGCGACTATCAGGCAGTTTTTGCAAAGATCCAACCAGGTTATATTCTCTTCCTGGGGACTCCTTTGACATATTTGGCATGCAAGCCAAAAGCATTTGTATACAAGATAACTGGCTGAAGATAGTGTCTTTGTATACAAAATTTTGGTGTTGACAGGCTTGGTGTAAAAAGCAGTCTTCGCTGACAAAGCAACCAAGAGGCAATAAAGAAAAGAAGAACAACAAATGAGTTTTTTAAAGATATTCTTTGAAGATTTGAAGTACTTGACCCCAAAAACCACTCTATATATTCCTGCTAGGTTTTTTGGTGTTTCTCTCAAAATTTTTTTCAAAAAGTGGGAATTTCAATGTATCTCCAGTAAAGAATTGACATTGTTAATATTACCAAATTGGGAAGTAATCATGAGAAGCACAGGCGCTCTGCACCTGACAACTGTTGAAGGAAACGTACGAGTAGTAGGTAAATAAAGATCAACTATTTGGTTTTGTATCTATGGGTAAACAAGAAAAATTTTGTATTCCCCATATAACAAGAACTATTTTAATACCAAAGTAAAGTGAAGATGGAATTGTTTTGCGGAGTATTAAATAATTTTTAAACAAACCATTTGTTTCCCCAAGCATCAATGTACCAGTTGCTTTTATGGTTTTTGCTTTCTTCTTTTTGTCTTTCTTTTTTTTTTTTTCTTTTGTTTTATTTGGTTTTCGTTTAGGTTTTGTAGATTTTCCACTTTTTGTTTTATTTCTTTTTTAGTTTTAGTTTTTTTTTAGTATACTTGTCGTTCTTAAGGCAAGGATTATAAAATCCTCTTGCTTAGATATTAAGAAGGGGAAGGTCTTAAGAAAATTAGCAATTATAACGGGTAGCCAATTCCAGTTAATGATGTATCTATTTACTTTGGTTGTAGGAGGAATAGATGCATAGACAAAATTTGGCTATAGCAGGTTAAATATAGGTGTCTAGTGGATAACTGAGTTAGTCAAAGCTTGTAATTTAGATGCTAAAGCTAGTATTTTGGCGAGAAGTCTGCATGCGGTAGAGCCAATTGCGATAAATCTAATAAAAGTTTTGGCATGACTGCCAAATTTTAAAAAAAAAAAAAAATAATCACAACTCTCTATAGCTATAAATAAATATTATTTAACCGATTTAATTCTATTATAAAATATTATCCTTTTATTATTTTAAGTTATATAGATTCCATACATAATCATTATTTATATATAATACTTAAGATCTAGTATAAAATCTATATTTAGATCAAAATATAAAATTTATTAAAAAATTTTTATACAGAATTGGATAAATAAATATTTTTACTATATACAAAAATTCTATAATAGCAAATATACTTGTATAACTCATTTTGGACAATAGAGTTAAAATCTTTATATAGACTTATAAATTTATGTAAATCATTACTTTACTAAAACTATAAAAAAATAAAAAATATTATTATTATATATTTATTATATATTTATTATGTTTTAAAAAATATAATAATTACTAATGATAATTTAATAATAATAATATAAACAATACATATTAAAACTATTTTAATAATATTAATAAAAATATTTTAACCCCATTTTTAAACTATTTTAAAAACAAATTAATTATATTTATAGAAAAAATTTATTTCTAACAGCCTGTTAATATTAGGTTTAAAGTTAGTGTTAATGCTAAAGTTAGTGTTAAATTAAATTTAAAGTTTATATTAAAATTAATACAAAATCACAAGAGGATCATTTTTCATTAGTATATCTGAAGCAAGTTTATTAGTAAAATTTTGGGTTATAAGGGATTTTAAGAATAGGCTGTTAAGTAACAGGCTGTTATGAATAGATTTATCCTTTTAATAATATTAAATAATATTTTAAAAACATTTTTAAAAAGCCTATTTTAAATCTTTATTAAAATATAATAATAATGTTTTTATAATATTTTTAATTATATTGAAATAAATAAAAAAAAAAAACTCTTTCCGTTTATTACCTGTACACAAATTTTTCCAGCTTAATTATTTTAAAAATATCTTATATCTTTATTTTCTACTAAGTTAACCTTAGTTTTGC